AAGAGTGAACTATGTAATTAAGATTTTTTTAAATTACAATTACTGTTCTTAGTGAGATTCTAAAATTCTGTCAAATAGTACTGGAGGATTTGGAAGGCAAAAAGAGAATATGAGGGTCACACAAATATGAGGTTAACACAAATGTCATATCTGCAAGAAGCTGCACCCCAATACTGGCTGAGAGATCAACGCAAAGAGATCAGGATTTTCAACATTTAGCATCTTACAAGAAGTGCTCTTGGGAGTGAGATTCAGGCCTGGGAGGAGGGGTCCTGGCTTGGCTGGTAATGACACCTCTAGGGAGATGCTATGAACCTGGTTCTGTCAGTGTTGGGGGAAAAAAATAAAAAAAAAAACAGAAATAATTTTTTGTATAGTTTTCAAGTACTGACTGTTACAGGAGTGAAAAGCCATTGAATAGGTGAGGCTGAAAAATATAGATACAAAACATGGAAGGAGCAGCTCCCTTCCCCTCCTCTAGGCTCCCTGTTCCCTTGTACCTGGTTTCAGCAAAGCCTAACTAGGAGCATAAGGGAGTTCACAAAAAAGACATGTAATTGCTTCAGTTAAGCATAACCAATGGACAAAAGACACTGGGGGGTAGGGGAGGCTGGGGGAATGTCAAGGGGGGAAAAAGGAGTCATATGTAATACTCTTTGTAATACTTTAAGCAATAAAACAAAATTTTTTTTTTAAAAAAAGACATGTAACTGTTAAGTCCTGAGCTCACATCACAAAGCAGAGGATAGAGGGTGGATATCAGATATATAAGAGCTTAGTATCTAGCAGGTAGCCTTAAGTGCTAGAAGACACTGAAGCAGTACTTAGATTTTAGAGAAAAAAAAAAAAAGAATTGCAAGCCAAGAATTCTGCATCCAACCAAATTGTTTTTCACTTGTGAGAACAAGATATAAAAACCATTTTGCAAATAAATATGGGACGTACTCAAGAAAAAAAATAACCACAAAAAAGATAAAAAATAGTGCCTAATGAAAGGTACAAATAACTCATTTTTTTATCCTAACGCAAATATTAAGAAAAAAATCTTAACAGGTGTATAATGCTAAAAAAAAAAAAGTAATCTAGAACTGAATGTCACATCAGTTCAATTTCTGGAAGAAAAGAAGGGTGGTGTGATAAAGATCTCATGCAAGAGGAGGATATGGATATAAAATGTGCAGAGATACAGAGAAATACAGAATGGTAAGTTTATCCTGAATCTCATTTACCTAATACACCTAAGCTATTGTATTAAGAATGGAATTATCCAAGTCAACGATGCAAGAAAATAAAAGTAATAAAAAGTAAACAAATCAGAAATACAAATATGAACTAATGGTCAGTGCTTATCTACACTAATAAAAGAGAAAAATGGTAATTGGCATACGACGCTACCCTTTTCATTGGCTAATTAACTGCCAACTCAGATGGCAGTTAACTGACAACAAAGATGGCGGTTAATTTGCATATGTAGGCACAATGCAGGGAGGTGAAAGGGAAAGCAGGAAGAAGCCCCCTGCCACTGACAGTGATCCGGAAACCCAGCAGGGAGCTAAGAGCTGGGGCCGCCTTTGTCCTGCCCCCCAGCTATGATCGAAAAATCAGGCGCCTTTGCCGCCCTGGCCAGTGATAGCAGGAGTGAGGGGTGGAGCCAGCAATGGGAGCTGGGCACAGTTGAGGCTGGCTGTCCCGGGA